AGATGATTTCAGAGAAAACCAGTGGCACCATTGTGTTCCTCGCGAACTTTTATACAAGAATCAACAGTCAAATTGCAAATTCCTCGCACATGTAACATCTCCATTGGGCCAAAATGCACCGATATCAATACCTCATATGTTACTTGGTTCCTCGAAAATTCTCCTCTTGGACTTAGCCTAAAAGTGTGGACACTTTTTAGCCTCCGGCGAAACCTAGAGTCTATACGGCTTCGCCGCACGACTAATACGGCTTCGCCGCACGACTAAAAACCACAAGTTGTAACCAATAAGATCACTCTATACACTCTATGTCTTCTATGTCTGTAGCTTTGTCTATCAATTTCAATAATCAGTCAGCTGGACTCCTCCCCTACAAGATTCTCTTGTTTACATGAGGAATTTCTGTCTGAGGCGCATGTCAATACTCACATCCATGCCCAAGACGTTAACAAGTACTCAAGCTTTATTACCACCCTGTATGGAAATGATTTCCAAATGGATTTTAAAATTAGCAAGAATATAATAGCAAAGCTAAATATGAGAACTTACCCTTCTCCAGTAAGAGCGCAACAAGACTGGATATGCCATTGTTGTTTCTTAATTGAAGTTAAATCTAATTGTTTGCTGATTTCAGCAGCTGTCATGGACCCTTTAACATCTTGTTTGTTAGCATAGATTAGAACTGCAGCTTTAGATAACTCATCATGGTTTAGCATTCGATAGAGCTCTTCTCTCGTCACTGAGAGTCTTTCTCGATCTGTCGAATCGACAACCATTATGATAAACTGAAACAAATATAAGACAAACTTAATGAGGAATGCAAGGAAAGCTGACAAATAAATCAAGAGAAATACAACAAAATACAAATTGATAGACTATCAAACACTAAAAAATTAAATAGGAAATAAACCTCAGATAATGCGGCACATAATAATATAACATCCGCACTGCCGATAATAAAAAACACCAATCTGAGCAGTTAAAGTTACTTAAATATCTGGAACATTTAAGGATAGAAGGATATAAAAGGTACTTGAAGGAATTCGTTGTTTGCACGAGTTACAAAATTGCGTTTTGATGGTTTTAGCTTACGAAGTTGCAAAAATTAATAAGATACATCCAAACACAATCTCCAAGTTCAATATCAACGGTGATATCCCCTTTTCAAAAACCACAGTGCATGACATCATTCACTGCCATAGCGCATTCTATGGTTGCTGCCACCTTAGATTCATCTGTTGATGATACACACATTAGCACTGGTTGCTCGGCGAATGCACTGCCACGGTGGATGACATAATCTGCCCAGTTTTGGAAGGGTGATACCTCCATTGATTTTGGACGTGAAAACTTGGTTTCTGTACAATTTTTAATATTTTATTTTGATATAAAATCCGAAATTGTCAAAGCATAAGCTGTGATTAGCACAACTGATCCATTTAAGATTTTGTTTCAAAACTTGGATTCACACCCAGATTCTTAGAAGAAATCAATATGCTAACCATGGAGGGCTCAGAGGTGGTCACTTTCAATTTAAATGCTGAGTTTCTAAATCTTCCAAAAAGATCTTTTTAAATGCCTCCTGACCATCAATAGCACTACTATAATTAAATCTAGGCTCGCTTTTGTATCAGATGCAGTGGCTCAAGGCTTGCCACACATCAAAATGTTGTCAGTTTGATCCCTGCCCAAATTTACTTTTTACCTCCAGAGAAGTTTTGGTTTAAACTATTTTTATTCGTAAACCAAAAGAAAGGAGAAGTTCTGGAGAAAATGTACGTTCATGATAATGAAAAAAATGCTTCGCAGCCCATGACAAGGTATTCATTTAAACAATTACAGAAGCAAGTAACAGCAGAGAACAACATTCATCTTCTTTTAGAAGGATAAAACCGTGCACAAAGTTTTCAAACTTGTCTAGTTTTTTTTTTTTTTTTATTAAACAAAAGAAGGTTATGGTGTTTTCAGCCAAAATGTTTTGGTGTCATTTGTGTTTTCAGCCTTGTTACCTCCTGCTGTAATTGATTAAATGAATTAAACTTGCTATCTCCGAATCATGAGACAAGAGCCATGCCATCGCATTGTGTGCAAAATTTAATATGAGTTCAGTGGAGATGAGGCTCCATCAAGGAACTTTTCACTCAAAACAGTACAGCAAATCTTCTAAAGCAGAGGAAGTTAATGCTATAGACTTGGAACAGTATTTGGTTCGGTATGTGTTGCTCATAGTTGAACAAGTGTATAAATTTTCAAAAAAGACCTTCAACTGTTCCTGACCAAGGCTAAATGCCAGTGGAGCCCGTTTAAGATAACTTTGCCCTTTTTGCTGTATGCGTAGAGTAGAGAATTCCCTATTCCATCCATAGAGCAAAAGAGGCAAAGTTATGTGAAACAGGCTCTACATTCATAAAAGAAACCACAGAAGATTCACTTCAGACAATGTTAATTACCTCTGTATTTGTGTAATAGGTACTCCAAGCAGCTCGAAGCGACTGCTGACCTCCTAGATCCCACATGATGAAGTGAATATTCTTCCATATCACCTCTTCTACATTTGATCCGATTGTTGGAGATGTATGCACAACTTCATTCATTAGAAATTGATACAGAATCGTTGTTTTACCAGCGTTATCTAGACCAACTATCACTATTTTGTGTTCTGAAACAAGCAAGGAGTCGAGTCAAATGCTGAACAAATTTTAATATTTCTTTAGGAAAATCTCTTTTACGTACCTCAGCAAATACACTCTAGAGCAGGGGCAGGGAGACGATCCGCTCCTTGCAATACGCCCTGGGGACCTCGCGGCCATTTGTTTTTTGAATCATCGATTTTTCCCCGTAAGGTTGTAATTTTCCAATCCTTTTCAGTCACTGCAAGACCCTAAAATCCTTGAATATTTGTCTCTAAGAGCTATAAAAGGTCACCTAAAGCTTTTAATACATAATATACAGGGAAATGTAGTGGGCTCTTGGGGCCCCCGAAGAATCCTGGGTGTGGGTTATTTTGAAGTTCAAATACTCTTGAATTGGACTTCAAAAATGCTTAAAGTTGCGTTTTAAGAGTGTGAAATGTTCAAAATTTCCTGGGGGAGGAGCCCTCAAATGTAGGTTGCCTCCTAACTTTTCGATTGCCAGTCCGCCCCTGCTCTAGAGTATTTTTATTTTTTTAGAAATAGGAACAAGGCATTCATAGGAAGCAAACTTTAGGAAAAATATGCAGAGCTTTTACTAGCATATGTGGAGTCTTGGTAATACACTTTATATTTAACTGTTGCACGTATTTCAGTTGCAGTATTTTAGCAAAACTTAGGAACTTACTTTTTGAAAAATTAAGTAAACAAATAAATTTAATTGAGTATTGTGGCACACAAGAGGAAAATCAGATTTTACTTTGACTTGTTTTCATTGAAAAATGAAGTTGTGAATGACACAAACTGAAATAGGTATACTTTATCTTTTAGCTGACCACCACTCCATTCAGTGAAAATTCACTTTTGATACAACTGAAGCGAAAAAGTTATTGCATTTGATTTTTCAATCTTAGGCAATACTTTTCTCTACAGCCTACTCCTAGTTTTATTTTCTCAAATTTGAAAGAAATATTTTATAGGCGCAGCAACTTAGGAACTTTAGTTCATTTCTGGAAAAAATTGAACAGTCCTGAAGTGACATAAAAAATTAAACACGATCGAAAAAAATTCCTTCTTTTGTCTCATAATTTTTCAGAACCTGGGCACCTCTAACTTCGATAGCAATTCAAAAGAACTGAAATACTGGTAGGTAATCGTAGATTACCTTCTGTTCCAAAGAGACTCCATATTTTTGAAAATAATAGCCCCATATTTAGCTGCTCTTGAAGAATCTCTCAAACTTTTCATCCGGAATCTGTAAAATTAAAAATAAAACATTGTAAATAATTGCTGCTTTGGACACAGGGGGCATGTTAAATGGTGTTACTTCGAGAAAAAAATGACAAAATATTGTAGAGGGAAACAGATGATTGGCAGTTTAACTTTTGGATTGAAAATAAATACAGGACTCAAGGTGGGAGATCATAGTTGACACTGTAGCATTGAAAATAAGTACAAGGATTCAGATGAGGGATCTCTCGTCTCATTCTAAAAGTTGGTGAACTTACTTCAAATGGATTTCATCAGTTTCAACAATAGTACTAACAGATCAGGAAGAGAATATGATCAATAGTACTTTCTGTGCACTGACCTTGAAAAACACTGAAGACTTAGAATCTATAGATAGTTTTTTACTAGTTGAATTTGTTGGCAGCCTCTGAAAAGGCATCATTACTCAATAATATCTTTTAAAGGCAATGAGGGCGTAAGTAATGATGGAGCCCATATGGTTGTTAATTAACAGCCATTCCAGAATAATAGTTTCTAACGATTAGGTACGTTATGAGGAAAACAATCGGATGAAATAGTATCAAAATTTTTCATGGAGGGCCACGGCAATTAATATCTGATTAATCCATCACTACCCTAAAAATTTGAAGTTACAGATTTTTACAGCAGTTCTACAGTTAACACACTTTTGATTATTTTTTAGAAATCTTAATAGCGGTCCTGAGAATCACTATGGTCTGCCTTAACAATTACCATTTGCGCATTTGCATACCTACACATCTACGGACAGCATCAGGAATTAAAAAGACTGTCTCACGCCAAAGAGATGCTTAAAAACTCTTAAACAAAGGATTTCAAGAGTTCTATGGCCTTCCGTCACTTTGAAAGGTTACACATCCTGAGAATAAGAACTAAGTCAGGTTCCATTAAAATAGCCCAGGGCGTGAAAAGTTCGATTAGAGAGATAATTCATTGGTAGGCTGGATCATGGTGTACGGGATGATTACTGCACAGTGATTGACATTTGAGAAAACTTCAGTACGTACGTTACTTCGATTCAAAACACCCTTAGTATCGATTGTATACGATTCAACAAGTGTCAAAGTACAGATAGTGTACTGAGTGGCTGAATATAGCTGCTTACAGGGCTGAATATCTCTGGGGGCGGAAAGAATGAGAAAAAGGAGAGTAAAACTAAAAGAAAAAGTTGAAAGCCCACTTATATTGAGAGAACAAAAACCAAGTTCCTGATAATATGTAATGGGGGTACATATCCTTGACCGTTGCGATTGGACAAGAATTCATCACTCACCTTGTTAAAGCTTATCAAAACAGAGAATTATTGATACACAAATCGATTCAACTAAATGGACGAGTATCATAATCCAGGCGCTGTCACTGAAACTTTCAATATTGATAAGGTGCTTGATGGCTACAGTGACAGTTTGCAATTACAAAGAGACCTGTGAGAGTGATGCACTCCAGATGGCAAAATTTAACACATTTCTCAGAGAAAATTAATGGGAGAAATGACTTACTTTCAAAGATTTATAAGAGGTAGGAGTTGACTTTCACCCAGGAAGTGGTTTGGATAATGTATTGATCTGAATTTCATAACCACTTGCATCCTAAATTACTATCACAGCAGATGAATTCTGGGCTAGGCAAACATGTAGAGGGATTGATCTTCTGAAAATTTTGAGCAAACAATCATTGATCCGAAATTGCGACCTGTGGTTTGATCAGAACTTTTGGATGGAGAGAACCTTTGACACAGCCATAGGAGATGAACGCTCTCACGAATAATCAGGGGGCTAAAGAAATTACACTGCTGAAAACACGCACTTTCACTTTGTATACATCCACTTCACGAGAGGGACAAAGAATTGAGAGTCCGAGTGAATGAGATCAAACCGAATGGAACATTTCCCGTTCAGCCATTTGGCTCAATGTCGATTAGTGATCAGGTGATCAGAAATTATCTCACAAGTGTCCAATTTCAGTTTCAAGGTGTAAGGGAAGAAAATTCATTTGTGTACTCGAAAACAAATGCTAATCAGGCTGGCTAATCCAACTAATCTAATCAAAGTTGTGAGAGGGACATGGGTTAGGAAACCTTACTTGACGCCATGTTGTTGACGTTCTCTGGAGACGTAGATTATGGAGACTGGGGGCAGAGGGGGTAAAGAGAGAGGAAGACTTCGTTGAAGATAGAGCAGAGCTGTGCAGCTGTGCTAATACTATTTTTAAGCCATTCCCTTCCTCAACTTGCGCTTATCATTTGCTTTGGATGACGTCACAAATCTTTTTTTTTTTTTTTTTGCTCAAATGACGTGATAAGATGGCTGCTCTTTGAAAACGATTACTACCTTTGGTTTCATTCTGTTCTCTTCAGTTTCATTTCTTGCGATTTTTCTAGGTTATGTTTACTATGATTGGAGATTTTCGAGAGTGTGCAGAAATGACTCAGAAAATTTACAGTTCTTGTAATTTTTGGTAGATAGTGCAAATTTTTCCTTCTCCTTCTATAATCGTACCTGTCAGCTCATTATTTTACATCATGGATTGCCCCAGTAAGTTTTCTCTTGGATTATCTTTGTTCAATTTTCAGGTTTTACTTTAAACATTGATATTTGGATTCCTCAATTCTCTTTGTCCTTTATAATGAACTGACATTTTTTTAGCCAATTTTGTTTACCCTCTGTCCCATTTTGAACATAGTTTGCCCATTTCTTCGCTGTGTTTGAACTGGTTTTATTAAAGCATCAAGAGCTCGCTCATCGTATGTTGAGACAAACGTCAATCTCCGATTAGCTCCGAATTCGCACCGCTCAACAGGTTAATACATGTAGTCAGGTGGCACCACTGGTGAATGGTGACATAAACAATCCTTTGACATTTGTCTCAACATACGATGCGCGAGCTCTAATAGCTCTTTCCTTTTCCTCTTCTTTCCATTTTATTTTATTTTTATTATTTTTTTTCTTACGCACATGCCAACTAATGCCAAGGTGTATTTTATGAAATACTCAACAGTTTTTCTTAAAACATCTTTGCACATTGTGGACTTGCAATCTACTATTAAAAGAGTCTTGGTTTCGTAGGAAGTCCAAAAAAAGGAAGTAGGTATCGCTTCTGCTGTTTTATTGTTTGAATCTAAGTATTTTGGAAGAGAATCGTCATGGTTTGCCGAAAGCACTTGTCCGTAGTAGAAGGAATTATTTTGTTCTCCCTAGTGAGGTTTGCATTGAATCACTGCGAGATCATTTGGCGAATCAGAAAATTTCTCAGAGGAATCGATCATCAGCTATTGTAAAAGCAGTTGCCTTATTAAACTGGGAAGAGAAAAGAATTAGCTGAACAAATTCTCTAAGTAGACAATCCATCTACCCTTGTAAATATGACAATAGTCGCTGGAGATTAAATGTTTAAGTATCAGATGTTTAGTGGCTGTAAAGATAGGTTAAGTTGTCTGCTGATGGACTGGCCTCTCCTTACAAACTGGTGCCAAAAAAACCATCTCTAAAAACACATCAGCCTTAGAGTACACTTTGTGGTTGGTGAAATCAATCATGACCACTTAATAGTTAACAAAAGAAATCCTGATATTACGATAACCTGGATTTAAAGGAGGTGCCCCTGGATCTCCCTTGTAACACCCCCTTGGAGGTGAATTGCCCAACCAAAATTTAATGGTCGTCTCTTCAGAGTTAGTTCAGGTTGCCCTCTAGTTATACCGGAATAATAGATTGATCCAGTGGCATCTTTCTCAGATTTTTGATAAACTGATGATTCAGTATGAAACTGAGCAGACCATATTGCAATCTAGCTCTGGAGTGCTCTAATTCAGATTTCTTTCAAGTGTAACAGTGTTTAGATAAACCAAATAGATCTTGATCTGTCTCATTTGGTCTGAAAAATTGATGCAAGTATTTTTGACTGAGTCACTGGGTCGGTATGTTTTGGTGGCTCATCTCCGAAGCAAGGACATAAAGTACGGTTAGGAATGAAAAATTTTAAATCATATTACAGTCTTGAAGTAAGTACATGCTCTGTAAGAACAGCTATGATCAGGGGTGTCATTTTAGTTAAATCTCAGGCGAGCAAAAAATGAAGATAGTAGATAAGTAATTTTTGTTTTGGAGAGGGGGACAGCATAATTTCAAAAAATCTTGAGAAATACTTCATGATGAACAAATAGTCTCCAAAAAAGGCACTCGAAAGTAATCAGTTGGAATCCGATTGATCAGAATGTCCATTGAGTGAACATGGACAGTGTTGATGTTATAACTTTTAAAGTTATGCAAGCATGCTCAAGTTTTCTTGTCATGTGATCAACTGTAAGTCACTCACTATGTGAAACTGAACGTTCGAAGGATGGATCAATCAACATATGTCCATTAATACTCTTGGTTTTTGCTAAATTTGGAATGATAAAACATTTTTTAATATTGTCACCACTACACCGTTGATAAGTATCTTGTAATTTTCTATTTTTAGTGGAGGGTGACCGCGGAGATGTCAAAGAAAATGGAGCTGCAGAGGCTAATTGTCCTCGCTTAGAATCCAGTACGGAGAAAATCATCTCAGAAAATGCTGAAAATGTCTGTGATCCGCTCTTGAGCCAACCGGATGAGGCCAATCTAACTCCAGTTGAGTTCTTTGTTGTGCACAACAAAAACAAACACAAAGTCAATTTCTTCCTAGAGAAAACAGTTAGTGATCTGAAAAAGCACCTACAAAATATCTTAGGTAATTATATCATTTTCTTATCGTTCTCATGCCCAGATATTCCATATCGAAAGTGTAAGTCGGCAATCAAATCACTCTGTTTGCGACATTGCAGGCCTCCCTGTCATACTTTCTGTTTTAAACGGAAAACTACTCAATGCTAATTCTTTAAAACTGCTGTAATTTTTTTTCTCTGTGTAAAAATAATTCTGCAAAAACCTCAAGGAATGATGTCAATTCGTTCTCCTTTAAAAAAATATCATAGAGGTGGAGATTGCCAGACACCGCAAACGAGATATGTGATTGCGGACTTACACCGTTGATATAGCCACTGTTGTATATCCCATTCACCATGTAAGATGGGAGATGATGAGTAGTGGACAAGGTAGATTTTGTCATGAGTTTTGTGAAAAGTGTCAAAGGTGAAACTAAGAGAACTTACTCAATTATCAGTTTGGGTGTTACAGGCCTCTTGCTTATGCAAATCAGTACCCTTGAGAAAAAAGGCGATTATTGCAATCACTGCACAACTACATTATTCAAAATTAAACAATTACTGTAAAATTATTAAAAACGATTCTCCATCATCAAGATAATTAAATGCAAGAGGAAATTTACAATGCCTTATTTCTTTGTTATCAAAGTTCTAAGTTCTACAATTGAAAGCTCCTAAATCAGTACACACACACCTTCTACTTATACACTTGTGAATTTATTTAACTTTCCAATTTCAGGAGTACCACAGCATCTACAAAAAATCATGTTCAAAGGCCTCGCCAAAGACGACCAAAGTTTGAAGGATATTGGAGTTACAAAGGATGCAAAGGTTATGGTTGTTGGGTCCAAACTCACAGATGTATTGGCTGTCTCAACCCCTAGTAATCAGGTGAATGTCCTTTTCATCCTTCACTATTTGTTATATTTCCTTATCTATTGTCAGCTTCAGTGGTGTAGTGGTTAAGGCAGTTTGCTGCCAGCGCTGATGTCCCTAGAGGCGACTGATATTCGAGGACTCAATCATTATCAGTCATCAAGAGTATGGATTGCCATGCCACTCTAATGCCTCGTCTTATCCCTTAGGTGACGGGCTAGGGGAGGGACATGGTTATCCAATAGTAGTGCTACCAACATCAATTCTCCCTTAGTGAGAGAGGCCTGCCTCAGGATGGGTGTAGGAAAGTTATTACTACTATGATGTGCAAAAACTCACCATGTAAGTAGTCAATGCTTCAAAAACTAGCTGGCATGGGGCAGAATCAGTGAGAGGGCATCATCCAGCAATCCTATGACCTTTGCGAGGAGGAGAGTTTTAGTCTCTTCACATCATGTAACACTTCAGTTTTCTCAATTGTTTCCGTGACATCAATAAAGTACGTTTCATGAATCAGTGGTTACATTTTCTTTTATCAGGATACTGCAGAGGAAAAGTCCAGCTCAGTCTCAACTAGTGAACCCTTTTGTAGACAAAAGATTCACCGGAAAGTCCTGGATAAAGGAGTCCCTGATGATGCTATGCCTGGAATTTTAAACATTAAAGTGAGTAAGCTTTTATTTTTCACACATTTCCCAACCCCTCTTTTTGTCTTCAGTATTTAAAAAAAAAAAAAAAAAAACTGCAGTGAATGAAATCTCGTAACATACCTGAAGTTGCTGTCATTCCCTCCTACTAAATGAAAGTAGGGTGGATAAACAAGTTTAAGCACTAATAGACTGTGACAGAAGATCATCTGAGGTCAGTTTAGCATTGGAAGTAAATGGAAGAATCAAGATGACAGATCTTCTGTCACAGTCTGGAAGTGCGTAAACCTATTTGGCATGGACCTTAGCTCTAAAAGCTTACAATGCATTCAATTAAAAATGAGAAAATTCGTGACCAATTTTGGAGACCTATGGAAAGACTCAAAGGCTTCCTATGTTATCTGCAGAGGCCTTCAAAGCACCAATAAACGGTTAAATTAGAGACACTTGGGTTGGAGGTAACCAAATAAAATGTTCCCTTTTTTTTCAAGTGCTCTTGCAAACCCAATCAAGCTTCTGCTATTGTTTAATTTTTTCATCATCATGATAAGTATTTTAAAAATAAGGACTGTGAAGCAAGATGAGGAAAATTATGAATACATTAGGTACATTTCAATGATCAAAGTTCAAAACCACATATCTCCAGTTGCAACATTGCAGACTTTCTGTCCTACTTTTTTTTTCTTTGGAAGACCTCAATGTAATTTCTTGAAAATTTCCTTGACTTTTCTTCCCTTTTAGCAGTATATTCTGTATTAATTTTAAGCCGTAAAGTTGTCTTTCTGCCCTTTGTAAAAATAAAATAGGAGTTGAAATCGTGAAACACGCGATGGAGATACGTGGATTCGCACTTCGGCTATTGACCTGTATTTATGTGTGTAAACAGGAGAAATGTCAGGTTCTTGAAGGTTGATATTGTGCCCATTCTCTGATGCAGTGCAATTCATAACTCCAAGTTTCTTAATCACAGTTAGTTTAACAGCTCCTTTACACTTCCTACCTCTTTACTTTTTATTTGCTATAATTTGTTATGTTTTGGCTGTATTAGGAGCCTTTACCTCCATATCCTATCTCCGGAATGCTGAATAAAAGTGGTGGTAAAGTGAGGTTAACGTTCAAACTGGAAGTAGACCAAGTCTGGATTGGCACTAAGGAAAGGACGGACAAACTGGGTATGAGCTCCATCAAGAATGTTATTAGCGAGCCCATCGAAGGTCATGAGGAATATCATATAATGGCAGTTCAGCTGGGTCCGACTGAAGCCTCGCGTTACTGGATCTACTGGGTTCCTGCGCAATATGTTGACTCGATTCGTGACACCATTCTTGGAACTGTCTCTCTGTAGTATCTTTTTATATTTGTATCTATTTCTAATTTTGTATGTTTGTTACTTTTTCTTGATGTCGTTTTTCTCTTTGCCGTAAACTTTGTTTTTTGAAACCATAACCTCAAAAACTAACTTGAGCTAGCTATTTAGACTAATCTGCTCAACGAAGATAAGGCTCTTGTAAAATTATTTTCTTTCATATTAGGGTTTTTTTAATAGAAATATTTTTCAAAACCATCGACTTCTTTAAAAATCGATGGTAACACCATCTCAGCGTCTTTCATTCTAATTGTTCAAAACGACTTTTATCTGAAATAATATTATTGCACGAAAGCAGAACCTCAGCCAACAGGTAGGATTTGCTTAAGATGATCTTTTCTTTTCCTCTAAAAATTCGAGAAGTTAGATTTTTTATTTTCAGTTAGGGATAGTGTGTTCTACTGATCTAGGAGATTAGTTATTGCCAGAACAAGAAACTTATTGCTGCAAAGATTGTCGTAAGAACTATTGCTGTGTTTGGTTTTTTTCTTCCTAAAATTTGGCTCCAAGGCTGTATTCCTTCTGACATGAGACTTATAACACGAAAAACTGCCACCCATAATTGAAAATTCTATTTTTACTTTTCAATCTCATTTTGATAAGATCGAGTGTTAAAATTAAGAGTGTATCAGAAAATAACGTCTATTGTTTGTATTAATTTTAAATGAGGAAGTTTCATCTCTCAATAAATAAAAAAAAATTCTTTAACTTGGACTACTCCTTCTCTTCCAAATATTATGACCTAAGAAGTCTACTTTCAAAGGAGGAAAACTGAGAAGTTTTGAGCAAAAATTATTTCATTTCGAATGAGAGGCCTATTGACTGTTTTTCAAGCAAGAAACCCAAGTGTAAAGTCAAATCATGTATTGAAATTAACATTCAGTTGTTCTTTAAGACAGATATGATTCTCAGTATTCTAATATTTTTTTTACAGTTTCATAAATAAAGAGCATTAAGAGTATTAGGAGGTCTAGTAAAACTGACAGATGATTTTCTCAACTTAGAAAGTCAGTTTCTCAGGGTTGATGTGATCGTTCCTGATTTTAGTTAATTCCACAAGCTAGTGTCAATTAATTGCTTTCAATAAGAATTATAAACGGATTGCATTTTGCAAAAAGGAACTGAGAGCATTCCAATGACGCTAAGATTGTGCAACTTTCTTTACTTTGCAAATACAACCGGATCATCGAAACAAGTTATATTTTTGCTCCGAAAAAACTATAAATTCAAGAGGAAAATTACATTAGTTAATTTAATATTTTGCGTGATTTCAGTAGTTTCACTTCGAGGAATATGAGTTGCACAATCCTAGCAACACTGGAATGCTCTTGGTCCCTTTTTGCAATGTGCAATTCGAATATAAAAACCTTCCTAAATAGTAAATATCGAAAAATCCCAGTGAGGAAGTTCTCAGCACCAGGGAAAATTTTAATATGAAAAAATGCACAGTGATTTTGTAATTCTTATCCGAACTAGTTAAGAATTTTGACATGCACATACATATACCCCACCCAAATTCTCTAGTGTTCAGAACAAATGCCAGACAATTTTTTAAGCCCCTGAGATATTCCTTCAAAAAAATAAACTTAATTGCCTGATTCCTTGCCTTGATCAAAATTGGTAATTCAGCATTATGTCCTTTTAATACAAGCAACAATAATGGGCATCAAATAGTCAGTTCTGGAAATGGTAGCTTCTAGAAGAACTTCTTTTCAAAAGTAGATCAGGAATGACCACTTGTTTTACTCATCACTGCTGTTTTAAATAATGGTGCAATACCTAGTTGTAATTGCACCCGATGAATAACATGAGAAATATCCGATTGGAAAAATAAATTAATCAAAAGCGTAGTGAAAGACAATAAAAGTTTATATTCAAAATTTGCTAGTACCATTCGTTTCAAAATTCGAAGTAAAATGTTATAAAATAATTAATCAAATAGATTATGGATTTACAACATTAATTTTATCCAAATAACTTGGCATTTATACAAAAATAATTTAAATTTACATGAATGAAACAATGGAATTTTTCTATTATACAGACTATAGAGTTTGTCAAAAGTTTTGCAGATATTGATTGATGTACTAGTTGAGATCAAGTTGATACAGCTGTTTCACTGATCAACCAAGAATAGATTGAAACGGGCGAGTCCGGTCGATTAATTTACATAAAATTATAAAAAGAAGCAAATTTTAAAAACGCACACTACATATCAGATGACTGCATACAAGATGAAAAAAACACACTTTACAACAAGGAAAACTCAAGATGATAAAAATATGTGTAGTTGTAAGTTAACATGCATACAGATACACCTTCACACATGCAAAATTCCAGATGATCTGAGGAATCCCTGTGTTAACTATATTCATTGAATTTACTCTTTTTTACCTTTTAAGGCTTGCAGGCCGTTGAAAGGGTCAATGTGATAAAATGTTTCAGATTTACATTACAGGGAAAAGGTTTAAAAGGGTGACTATTAATTTCTCACAAGTTGAGGTTGCCACAGAATTTAAAAAATGAATATCCCTGACACCGTAAGTTATGCCCAATGGTTGAAAAGACATACTCTGAAACAGTTTTTCAGGCAAAATGTGTTGCTCAAAACGTCAGACCTATTCTAGGAAGCACATGAAGATAACCTGACAATTTTCCCTTGACATTTCCCGGTTTTCCCAGCCTTTTAAAAATTCTTTGACCATTCCAGGTATTCCTTACCTGTGGCAACCCTCTACCCCTCCCTTATTCACATTTACTATTTTAAAAAGTAATTTTTTGAACCATCGTTTGGGCAGAATTTAAAAGTTAAGTACTTAAAATAGGTGAGTAAGCTTCACACAGAGGACCTGCTCCCATATGGAGTATATTAACCCTCATTGAAAGTCAATTAATGTCTGAAAGTAAAGAATGACTATTTTTGCAGTGAGGATTTCACTCGTTTGTCTTTTAACAGGACTAAAATTATTAATTACTTTAGTAAAACTTGACCAAAAAAATTTGAACAGGACTATGATTGAGGTACACTGTACGAACATGGATCAGTGAAACGAAGCAAGACTCAGAACAAAGCATGTTAACTTACTTTTGAATACTGAAAAACTTTTTCTCCAAAGCACTGTTTAAATAATTGGTGTGTTCTAGAGATAATGGATTTGAATGTACAGTTCTTGAGTCATCGTTGAAAATCAACTATCAGTGAGAGTTATTAATACATTAAAAATCAGCATCCAAAGAGAAGACATGCGCATCTTTATTTGACATGACACCACTTTTCTGATATTCTCCAACTTTTTTCTCGAAGAAGTTTGTTTTACCCTCCAGAGAGATCTGTTCCATGAAGTCAAAAGGATTCTCTTTGAAGTACACCTAGAAGGGAAGATAAAGAGAGGAAAAAATTAGTGCAATTTAGCCAGCCCAAAATTCAATAAGGAACTGTGAAATTTGAATCACAAGAATTCGTTTCCTGAAGTTCAAACTTGGCAGAGTTCTCACTTTAACTAGACAGTTCATGGCCCCTTGATTCTTTCAAAAAGTTTTGGAAAATTTCATGATCATTCAATCTCAAGTATTGACCTGCATTATGAAGAACCGATTTTCTGAAAAATCAATTTTTTCACCAAAAACATTTTTAGGGTTGCTAGCTAAAGTAATTGTTTCTATTCCACGATTTTATCACTGACTTGTACCGAGTAATGTCTTAGGCTCAGTGGAGAAGTTTAAGAAGACTGAGGCTGTTTTTCAATATGTATCAATTTTGGATAATGCATGGAAGACGGTTGTCCTATTCAATTAAGTCATCAATGATTGTGCTTGCTTTTCCTCAGGGGTCTTCCAAGAGCTTTGACAATCAATCAGCGTTGCGCACTGTCGGCTGATAGTGATAAAAATGACATGTGCTGATGAGCCAGTCTTTGTAAAAGCAATTGAGAGTGTGGCCAACGGTAACTACCTATCACTCTCATTTTCGTCATAATGGCTAGTAAAAATTTATTTTACGGAAGGAGTGATTAAAACATAGAGTCGTAATGTCAGTGGGAGCCACTTTCAAGCAATTTCCAGGTCCCGAATTTCGAGACTCCTGTGCAGTGCCGGGTCACTTTTTCAATACATAATCAATTGTTTGCGATACACGGGGACCCAGCCATGGAATTACTCAGTATTTCATACTACCATTTAGGATCCGATATGTATCGAAAAAGTGACGCGCACACCGGACTCTGAACTCGTCAAGCAGAACATGGCGCCACAGCTCTCCCATTTACATTAAGACTCTGTGTACTCTATAGGTTAAAAACAATACAGTGAGTTTCCTTGGGTAGGTGCAATAGCTCTCCACACATTTGTGGCTGATCTCATTAGTTTTTGAAAATGGATTTACTGACTTTCTGCTAATTTTTTTTGACATTCCTACATTGTTCTTAGTCGTATCACCATACGATTCCTAGTTTTTGGCTACCTTTCATGATCAGTTGCACAATTTGAACTGATAATTGACTCATGGATTTTGGAAAAATGCAGTCTCCTTTCTTCTTGAAAACTTCACTCTTAGTTTTCTTCTGCAAAAACATACAAATTTCATCACCATCCTTCAATGTAATAAAGATTCTTGGCTAAAAACGTCTTTTCTGTAAGAGAGAGACCATCAACAATAGGCAATGAACAATATTTGTCTACAAGGCAATTCTTAGAAACAATGAGCAGGCAAGTTTTTGAATGACACAGTTCTATCGGGGGAATGTTTAAATCTTAATTCATTCGGTCTAAATTTTTTTCGGAGCTTACCTTCATACAACCCAATTCGACAAGAAGCCTGTCAGCCACGAATTCAATATACTGCTTCATCAGAGTCCCATTCATTCCAATCATAGCAACTGGCAAAGCCTCGGTAAGAAACTCTTGTTCAATCTTCACTGCGTCCATTATGATTTCCTTAACTCTATCTTCACTGGGTTTTTGAATGATGTGTTTGAACATCAGGCACGCGAAATCACAGTGGAGACCCTGAACAAAAATAATGAATGGAGCATGTCAGCACAAAATAAAACAAATGCGGGACTGGCAAATGGCAGTGGCATGGTAATGATTTGAGAATTTTTAAATTTCATGTGCCCACTATGGTGAACTATGGTGGATATCGAAGGAGAGAGGGAGGGCATTTTTTTTTTTTTAGAGACACCTCTCATGAATAATGCTGTTAACTGCTATTGAAAATTTCATGCCTTATCAAGCCAACAGATCAGTATGGAGTGTATATATTATACTTAAAATTNGGGGGGGGGGGGCGGCGAGGTCTTTCCTCTTAGAGTTTTTATGATTTTTTGTGGAGGTCTCACAGAGACCTTCCGCAGCTGTCCTTGGAGCAGTGACTATGATGGAGCTACCCATAAATTGTATTATGTACACTAAAATTGTACAATAGTAGACAAAATTTCCAAAAACCCGCACTGAGCAGCTACTTTGTAGTGGAGGCCTGCAGTTCATGAGAAAAAATGCACAGAGAGAGTAATATAGGTAAGAGAAAAAATTACGACGAGAAGGGTGATTGTAAACTATATGACGTTGCAGCAATAGAAAAATAATTGGACAAAGGGAAAAAAATTGGAGTTGAAATTCAATTTCATTAAGTTAAAACGGTAGAAACAAAAGCATATAATAGTGAGCTGCGCGATTGAGATAATGATGTAAAATCTGTGAAGAGATATTTTGAGAAAAAAGACGCTCACTTCATCTCGAGAGATTAGTTCATTGCTGAAAGTGAGGCCAGGCATCAAACCCCTTTTCTTCAGCCAGAAAATTGAGGCGAAACTGCCAGAGAAGAAGATTCCTTCCACAGCTGCAAATGCAATCACTCGTTCGGCGAAGCTTGATGCATCATCAGCGATCCATTTCATGGCCCAGTCTGCTTTCCTCTTTACACAAGGCATTGTTTCAATGGCATTGAACAAGTACTCGCTGAAAAATTCGTTCACACATGAATGAAATCTTGAGTATCACAATGGAATAAGGAATACAACAGCAAAAATTCCGACTAATCGCAAAAATTTGAATCCTGAGGGACTAAGATTACTTTGATTTGAGAGACATCTTGGACAAAATGGAAACACCAAAATTCGAAAACATCACAATTTTTGGAATAGGTCTCCGAAGGTTTTGACAGTCTCAATTACTAAAATACATAAATTGTCCAAGATCAACTTTGCTTGAGATATGCGGGCAATTGTTACATAAGACTTCTTGGGCACAAAAAGCCACTCCTCACTTCATTTGAAAAAACACAAGGCCTTGTTAAGGGCTCAAGTCAGCCATCTCTTATTACAATGAACTCCTAGTAAAATTTAGCTGGATTGAGGAACAAAATAGAATAATGTCTGACAGGTTCTTTGTCCATGCGCAAACTAAAGCTCACGAATAGGCTCATTTGGTGCAGTCATTCACTGTTCCCGTACGAAAGTTACCAGGCCGATTACTTGTAAGAGTAACCGATGAGCCAACTTATGATCTCCAGTTTGAGCAAGAAGGATGCGTCCCATTGGAAAATAATTTAGTTAATCAATAGCTTTGAGATGCATCAGTTTAACCTATAGAGAAATTAAAAACATCATTGATGAAGGATAAAGCAATTACCGTTCTTTGGGATCTCTAATGTAAGTGTCGATGAGTAAACTATACATTTCAGAGTGGACATTCTCCATTGCTATTTGGAAGCCATAGAAACAACGTGCTTCCGTTACTTGAACCTCTTGACTGAATCTTTCTACCAGGTTTTCATTAACGATACCATCCGAGGCAGCAAAAAATGCAAGTACATGCGAAATAAAATGTTTCTCGTCCGGTTTTAATTTTTCCCAATCTGCAAGATCCTGAAAAAAAACATTAGCAATTGAAAAAACCAGGGGGAAATAGGACAGTAAAAACAACATCAGATAAAAAAGATGGAAGAAACTAGATGATGACTACTCCATGTTCCTACTCTAATAATTTAACGAACAAAGTATTTGTTCTTCAGATTGTTACCGTCAACTTGGGTAGTTTCAAACTTTCTCAACCATTATTTACCATCCTCTTCTGGTTTTTAAAGAGAAGGTACAATTTTTAGACCTTGATGGCTGTTGATTTAACTTTGAAAAAGCACTAGCTTACTTCAGAAATCATGCATCATTTATAAAATATTTAAGAAATCAAATATATAATGAAATAGTTTGATTAAAGGAAAGCAAGAATTTGATGATGTTGGCTAAGTTAAACTCGTTATGAAGTTACATAATACCATTCTGACCAAATCTTCCAACAAGCATAATTGCTCTGCTGGGCTGACTTTCACTACTGATACTTTGCCTCCTAATAGATGAGGACTTTCGCCAATATTGGTTATGTAAGTATTACCAATTTGCTTCAGCATTAGAGGGAAATTAGATTTAAGGAACCTATAGAGGGGTGTGATACCACAGGTTTTTAATTTTTCATGAAGCAAGATGATAAAATAAAATGTTTGTTACCTACCTTGGATAGGTCTACTTCTTCAGCAGTCCAGAACGAGGCTTCAGCTTTCTTGTACATTTGCCAGATGTCATGAAACTCAATAGGGAAAATAACGAATCTTCTGGGGTTGTCTTTGAGCAGAGGTTCTATGGATGGGTCAAACATGTTGCTCCTGGATTTATCTTCTTTGATAAGGCCCTGAAATATGTTAAAAATCAGAGAGAAAAATGAGATCAGTATAATTATCTTAAATTGCACCTAGATTGACATAATTGCGCGAAAAAGGACATGAAATGTAAGATAAATTTTTAAAGCCAGAATCCAAACTAGGATTTAAAGGACTTTTCAAGGTGTGTCAAGGATCTTTTAAACGCTTCTGCATTTTTCAAATGCTTTCATGGATGTGCAAAACCATTTTAAAGACATAAAAGCATGCCTTGAAAATGGCACTTTTCTCTTCCTGTGCCTTCGTTTTTTCCTTCCTGTACATGAGGAGGCAAATGTATTATGTACAGACAACACTTTTTGATGATTGAGAAGATTTTGATTTACAGGGAGAAAAGATCTCGTTAGAATAAACAAAAATAAAATAACCTGCAGATGAAAAATTTAAGATCTCTTTGATAAATATGAGCGAATTTTCAAAATTCTAAGGTACCCAGGGGGCTTCAAATTCTAGAAAAATCCAAGTGTGTTTGGGACCTTTTAAAAGCGTCACAAACCCTGGAGCATGAGAGATACTTTTCAGGTGATGCTTTGGTTCTTGGTGATCTTTTAAGGACGAGGCGATAAATCTATGGGCTAGAAAATTTGTAAGAAGAGGAACTTACTTTGTACCTGACAGGAATTGAACAATGTTTATAGAGAGGTTCCAAACTTGGTAACTAACAGTTGTAGGCAAATGGGTCATATCAGATCGTTACTCATTTTGACAAATCACTGATGGCTTTGGCTTTTTATCAAACAAGACATCATCAAGATAACACATATTTGGGAGAAATGAAAAATACTGGAGTGTCCTAAAAGTAAATATACACAGAGAGAACTTACATTTTGAGATTTTAGGTTGGTGTTGGTGATATTCTTGTTATGCTCTGAGAATGGTTGATGCTTTTCTTGCGACAAATCCTGAAAATTGAAAATAGGGAAGGATGAGAAATGTGTGACTTTTAAAATCACTGATAACACTAACCTATACTTACAAAATTGGAACATTTAGTGCTGGCCAATAATGACATGTTGAGCTGTTACAGGCTCTACGTTGCGTAACCTAAAACCAACATGAGACTTCTTGTTCTTGACCGATGACTTTCCTCGAAGTATTAATGAATAGATTTTGCTAATGATGACTAGTTTTACAAATTCAGATTAACTTAAGTTGGTTTAAAGATTAACTAATTTCTGTTGGTTCTAAATGAGCCGATGTGTACTTTTATATGCTTGTTAGCCACATTTGAAACAAGTGATGGTGGATTAAGCAAAACTGACAGGAATTCTTGGAAGCTCATCAGGAATATTGCGGGTGCATTTATATTATACCCAACAATGGTTGAAACCCACACCGACAAGTTGGAACTTCCCAGTTAGTCACAAAAATCTATGATAACCAATGATTTCGGGCGAGGCTCTATCTTAAAACATGACCTGTTCCTTCACAGGTCGCCTTCTCAACTATTCAAGCAGTTGCAAGTTAACGACTTTTCCCTCCAGTTGGGTTTTGTTTGGGACTGTTAGATATAGCGTGTCATTATCTTAGCTTCATTGGGGCCTGTGATGATTAGGGACTTCTATGGACTGCGCGGTGCCCCGATCGAGCGGGCCATGCCCTTGGTGAAACTGGGCGAGATTATAGTATAGCGCAGTATACTAATCTCAGTAGAATTCTGACAAGGAACTCTCGGGGACTACAAATACTAGGATATGGTGCTCCTATTGAACCACCATAGTACCTAGTTGCATAACTAGCCGAAGTAAGTCCTGGCACTTCTAATCCCAGTGGTCGAATCGAAAAGTCGCACACATGGTATGAGTGCTTTGAATGCATGCTTGACAAGTATAATGAGCTCGAAAGGTGAGAAAGAGATGGGAGCTGGAATATTGAGCAAGTTGATGAGCAAGAATAGGAGGGCGAACTTACATCTTTCAAAGACAGTTTCGTTAATCCATGGATGTTTTCTTTGTTGCTGATAAGGGTGGCCATGATGAAAGAAACTTAAAAAACCACTGAAGAATATGATAAAAGATATTAACTGACGGAAGGTGGCCTTAGTTTCTAGGAAGCGGACGAAATGGCGAAAAGATGCTGACAAACTACAATGGACGGCCGAAATAACGCGGGAAAGTCGTTTCGGTTATGCTAAATTGACAGTTGACACGCCGGATGAGCAAAAAAAAAACACCTGCACTTAAACTGTGCACGAAGTGGGGGCGAGAGCCAATGGGCACCGTTCATTTCGATAGATCGGTATTACTGAATCGCAATAAACACCCATGATTGGCTCTCGTTTCCCATTCAGTTGCGCGCGCTTCGAGGTCGTCAGCTGATTGCTGCGAATCGTCAGCTGTTTTTGAGCGGGAACCGTGGAACAAAAATGCCGCCATTCGTTGAGCCCGCCCACCCCCTCCCGCCGACCGCTAATTATAAATTGTTTCTAATATTTTGTAAATTATACGTTGTATTATTAAGATCAAGAAGAAAACGTCAACAATAAATGACGAGGAAGCCGTTCTCAGAAAGAGAATGAGGATGTAATACAGTACGAAATGAGGGGAGCATTATCATCATCAGTCCCGTCAGTCCTTCACTCCTTCCCCCCTTCCCCCTCCGATGTGGACGTGAGCGTTGGCCTGAAAGAAGGGGGGAGGGGCGACGACGGCGGCGGCGATGCTATAGTGCTTTGGTCACAACATTTAACTCACAATCAGTTATCGATTTTTCCTGATATTTTGAGAACTAATTACACAATGAAGGTCCTATGTATCCTTTGCTGGAAGGCAACATTGTATTATAAGCGAGGAATTCACTCTAACTGTTACTGAGAGGCATTTTCAAAAATTGCAATGTAGAGTAGACCTACTTCGACCACCTTGTACAGGGATGAGGAGTCAAAACAGGGTTTTTTGCCCCATAATTTAAGGGTTCAAAAGTAATTAAAAATCGTAGGTCCGCCGCGCCGCGTAGCCCCCCCCCCTCCTCCTACTCCTTCATGAAATTTTGCATAGGTCAGGTACTGAATCTACACTAGGTTTTCGGGTACATAAATGCTTGGGTTAGTTTTAGTGCATTTTCTGATTTAAAATTACATATTATATGATGATTCACTGAATGCCATAGCATAAAAGATCTTAAAAAGTTCTCAATTCTGGAATAATAATAATAAAAAAAAAACCGAATCCAGCCGAAAAATTTTGGATACGAATGTAAATGTGACGAGGGTTTCTCCTTTTGCGACGTTGCAGACTTCCTTAGAAATTTTATTTTTCTTTCGAGAAGCTGGTCAACATAAAACTTAAATTCTCCATGATTTTTCGTATTCGATAGCAGAAGATTTGGTTCACAATTTAAAGTCGTAAATTTGGATTGTCTCTCATGGAAGTGATGAATTAAGGACGGAAATTTTGAAACACCGCAATGGAGATACGTGGTTTCGCACCTCGGGCGGTGCGATACGGACATCCATCAAGTTTAAAGAAATGCAGCAAGTCCCCGTCACCGCCGACCAACGCGTTTGTCGATCGAATCAACTTCAGGTATTATGCGTAGGAGGTCAAAACGCCTTCAATTCTTTGAACGCAATACGGACATCCGTCGAGGTTGTATAGTTGTATCAAGGCGCCGTAGCTAACGCGTCCCATTTTCTATCGTTACATACGAATATAAGTTGAGAGAGGCCGGTCATAATGCCTTCAATTTTATACATACATATTTTTGGGCAAAATGAGAGACGATGGTTTCTCCTTTTGCGAGGTTGCAGACTTCCTTAGGAATTGTATTTTTCTTTCGAGAAGCTGGTCAACATAAAACTTAAATTCTCCATGATTTTTCGTATTCGATAGCAGAAGATTTGGTTCAAAACTATATGAGCTTTGGAAGCAGACAGAGATGTAAAAGCCATACAACTGTTGTACCTCAAAATGTTGCTCATGAAAATGGGTTTGGAGAAGAGGTCGCGAAGTTGGTCATTGATTCCAGGCTCGGCAAGTCTGAGAAGACCATTATGACAACATCTGTTAAAATGGCCGTTCACCTCCTCTTTTTTGAAATGCCAGGCATCACAATACTGGCACTTCACATTTAAAAGTTTGAAATTATTTTCCGGAATAATTTAATTTTTCCAGATTACAAATTTAAATTGTTAATAAATGATGATAAATTCAAAATTCCAATTTCAATTTCCAAAATTTCAGAGCATGTTATATCTTCTTTCAAAATATATTGTCAGTTCAAGTTGCTATTCAATTATAATAAATAACTCGAACGTGGTTGTTCTATGATTTCTTACGAGCAGTTCCCTCTCAGTGTTTAGCGGCCGCGTAGCGGCCTCAGGCCCCTAGTTGCACTATATTGAACTTGGGCTACTAGGGTTTGAGGTTTTTCAAAATGAAGAAAAGGGCGTGAGTTTCAGGCACGATTTGCCTACAAAGAAACAAATGCAACTTATTTCAATCGCGTATTGCAATCAATTATTTCATCAAGAAGAGCCCCTTCAATTAGTGAATAGACAACAAGCACAACATCCCAACACAAGATCGATAATTTTACCCTAGAATTGCAATTTATTGAACTTTGGCCACTTGAGTCTGAGCACAGTGGGTTTTATCTAAATCTAATTAAGAAAATGAAAGTCCTCATGTCTTAAAGCGGAAAAGTACAGCGAAACACCTCAGGAAAACATCCCCGCTGAAAAGAAAATCATTCGTTGGGCCGTTTTTTTTTTTTTGCCCCCCCAAAGCCAAAATGGCGGCCGATATGCGCCGCCGCGGGGTGCAAATGTCACAACACCCTCAAAATGTCAAGTGACACATCGATTCCTATGTAATCTTGGTCTTAAAATCCGAATATGAGGTCAGAAATCCCTTACGAATAAAAGGAATCGCGAAAATTCAAGATGGCGGCCAAAAATAGGCCCCGGAGTAAAAATTCTCAATTCCAGCTTTTGGTGACGAGTGAGATGTCATTTTCTATGTTTTTTGGGTCATAGGATCCAAATTTGCGGTCAAAAATTCCCTTCTGGCCGACAGGGATCCTTCAAATCCAAAATGGCTTCCATTTTGGGGCTGACATATTATCTCCGAAAGACGCGTATAGTCGAGTGAGGTGTCTTTTTACATGTTTTTTGGACCACATGATCAGAGACTGGGATCCAAACTGTGTCCCTGTGCGCCTGAAGGTAAGATTTGTCCCTTAGCACCTTGATTGTAACGTTTTTATCAACTACTTAAATAAAAACTCAGAATTTCACTGTTCAAAGAAGATTATTTTTGTTTTGTTCCTATTTCTCTTGCGCTAGTTTTTTTGTGAAGAAGGGGACTATAGCTCCTGCTAGGCAAAAAGGTCAAACATTATTTGTATGAATAGCGCATTCCTTGGTGTGGTTGGCGCCGTCCTAACAGTGAAATTCTGAGTTTTTATTTAAATAGTTGATAAAAACGTTACAATCAAGGTGCTAAGGGACAAATCTTACCTTCCGGCGCACAGGGACACAGTTTGGATCCCAGTCTCTGATCATGTGGTCCAAAAAACATGTAAAAAGACACCTCACTCGACTATACGCGTCTTTCGGAAATAATATGTCAGCCCCAAAATGGAAGCCATTTTGGATTTGAAGGATCCCTGTCGGTCAGAAGGGAATTTTTGACCGCAAATTTGGATCCTATGACCCAAAAAACATAGAAAATGACATCTCACTCGTCACCAAAAGCTGGAATTGAGAATTTTTACTCCGGGGCCTATTTTTGGCCGCCATCTTGAATTTTCGCGATTCCTTTTATTCGTAAGGGATTTCTGACCTCATATTCGGATTTTAAGACCAAGATTACATAGGAATCGATGTGTCACTTGACATTTTGAGGGTGTTGTGACATTTGCACCCCGCGGCGGCGCATATCGGCCGCCATTTTGGCTTTGGGGGGGCAAAAAAAAAAACGGCCCAACGAATGATTTTCTTTTCAGCGGGGATGTTTTCCTGAGGTGTTTCGCTGTACTTTTCCGCTTTCAGACATGGGGACTTTCATTTTCTTAATTAGATTTAGTTAAAACCCACTGTGTGAGGTTTCACCATGAAAATGAACAAAAGAATTTTCATCATTAGGAGCCCCTTCAGTCAGTGAATAGACAACAAGCACGACATCCCAACACAAGAGCGATAATTTTACCCTAGAATTGCAATTTATTCAACTTGGGCTACTTGGGTCCGAGGTTTCTTCGTGGAAATGAAGAAAAGAAATTTCATCATGAGGAGCCACTTCAATTAGTGAATAGAAAACAAGCACAACATCCCAACACAAGAGCGATAATTTTACCCTAGAATTGCAATTAATTAAACTCGGGCTACTTGGGTCTGAGGTTTCTTCATGGTAATGAAGAAAATAAATTTCATCAAGAGGAGCTCCTTCAATTAGTGAATAGACAACAAGCACAACATCCCAACACAAGAGCGATAATTTTACCCTAGAATTGCAATTTATTGAATTTTGGCTACTTGAGTCTGAGGTTTCTCCATGAAAATGGAGAAAAGAAATTTCATCATGAGGAGCCCCTTCAATCAGTGAATAGACAACAAGCACAACATCCCAACACAAAAGCGATAATTTTTGCAATTTATTGAACTCGGGCTACTTGGTTCTGAGGTTTTTCATAGAAATGAAGAAAAGGGCGTAAGTTTCAGGCACGATTTGCCTACGGAGGAACAAATGCACTTATTGCACTCGGAGGCGTTATAATGAGGACAAAAATAATGGCGCTGGAGCGGACGGACGGTATGTATATATGTCGGCGGATCCGCGTCCATTTCTCCGTTTCTGACAAAGTGTCTCGATGAGATTGGGATCGGGACTCGTATTTAGGCCAAGAGCATGACGGCCGTGGCCGGATCACCACGGAAACGGATTTCAAACCGCCTCGATAGACCCCCCAAGTCCCTCGCGTGATGGAGTCCAATCATGGGAAGCGATTCGCAGTATACTCACCTGTACCTGTAACTCCCGCGCGCTCATCCTTGTGGCATGTTTAGCTGTCCCTTGTTTTGCGTGTTCTCCCCCGTAAAATTGAATATCTACCAACCTGTTGTGCCTCCGACCGATTTTAAGTGAATTCTTCAGTCTTGAATCTCGGTCCGCGGCCATCCTTTCTTTCCACAATCGGCGATTCTTCTTCGTAATTCGCGTTATTGCACTGAGAGATAAAATAATGCGAAACGAGTGCCGCTCAACGAGAAATTCCTCGCATATTGCGATATAACTGTGACCAGGGTAGAGAACGCAAACTGTGCTCATTTTTGGTTCGAATCAGTTTTTCTAGAATCTTATATGGACGTATTTTTACTAAATGGAACTATGTGCAAGTGGAAAGATGGGGTGTGCTCGTTAGTCGAGGGCCATAAGAATGAATGGGGATTTTAAAGCGCCAGTGACGTCAGCGACAACGGAGCCGTCTCCATTGTCGTTCTTGCTCGGCTTTAACTCATGAGCCCTGTCGACAACGCTCTTTTGCAATGTCCATGGCTCATGAGTTAGCGCTCAGCTCCTTTTGATTTAATGTCAAATCCCGCTTTTCTATGCATTTTCTCAAAAGGAACTATATCCACTTTTACATTGTTTCCTATCCAGTTTACTACGAGCACATCCCATCTTCTCACTTGCACATAGTTCCTTTTAGCATAAATACGTCCACATCGACGGTGTGAGCCCGCAACCACGTATCTCGTTTGCGGTGTTTGAAAATCTCCGCTCTTATTTAATTTTTTAAAGGAGGGCGAATCGACACCATTCCTTGAAGTTTTCACAGAATTTTCTTCGCGCAGGGAGGAAAAATCACGGCAGTTCTTAGGAATTGCCATTTTGTAGTTTTCCATTTGAAAAAAATGAGGTATGACAGGAAGTCTGCCACGTCGCAAACCCAAATTTGTGGTTACGGATTTCCATCGTCAATATGCTAAATGATCCAAATCATCATAATAGGTCATTAAAAAAATAGGTACGTAATGCGTTAACTCAAAATCCTGTCGCCCGCGTATTGCGTCAAAGTAAATTTTCCGGATAACTAGGCATAATAAAGAGATCACTCTTTTTTTATTCTCTTCCTCTAATTGTGTACAATATAGCTTAAAAATTAGGACTGTCTCACTGTTTTCGGTGCGTTTCTGTTCTAGGAGTCTCATGGGTATAAATTGAATTGAAAATCACGCGAAATTTTAACACCTCGCTGCTCAAGCGGGGTGGTCACCCAAAAAGAAGGTGAATGTGATGGAGAGGGGGTAGAAAATGTTCCCGCAAAGTTTGCAGGACTGTTGGGGAGGGGGGGGGCGTTTCAGAATATTTTTATATTCATATTTGAAATTGACCTTAAAAAATAAATTAGCATTCATGGGCTAGAAATTTGCGGAGATTAACCGGAAATTATACACCCTCGCGAAGTTCAAACACTCTCTGAGGAGAGACCCTGAGGCTGTCTTTTGCATTCAGGACCCTTCCAGACCTTCAACTCCATAAGAGGCCCATCGTTACATTTTTGTCAGAGGATCCATGTTACGAAAGGGGTGGGAAATAAAACATGGGTTCTCCAGAACAGATTACATTTTTAGAGTATCATCCCTAGCATTGTCCTAATTAATTTTGCCACCCTGATGAGTTTTTAGAGTCGCCCGAAAATTATAACATTTTGCACTCATAATTTATGTGACAGCAGGCGTAGGTAAAGTAACGCGTTGAGTCTCGAAGGATTTCTCGTTGAGACCATTCAATGTCGAACTTTTTTCAATAGTTAAGAACCGCGTATAAGCCTAATTTAAAGTGACTCCGCTCTTGTGTTCACGATTAACAGGATCGCACTACATAAGCTCGTCGCTGATAGAGATTTCCTAAAGACATGAAATTAAAATCAAAATACCTAATAAAAGAATTCGTGGTTCTGCTAGACTCGGACTGAAGAAGGAACTTCCTTGAATGAACAAGGTAAGAATTTCAATTGTTATTTTTCATGCGTCCTGTTCCGGAGGAAATTTGAGCGATTACTAATAATTGAGAATCGAAACTGTTGCCCATTTTTTGATGTTTGATTAGGCAACGCAACGTGAGCTATTTGAATACAGTAATCGTAACCACCAGCAATTTGGCCACGTTCATCGGGTTTAATCCTGAAATAAGCGATCGATATTACTCTACTAACGATCCCGCGCGCTCACATGCCTAGAATATTCTGATGAGGCAATGTAAGAGGCCACATCGAGGCAGTGATAGTTCCTCGTAACAATTTTTCCATACCCATTTAACTGACTCATAGTAATAACAGATTAATACTCTCTAATAACATCGGTCCGCGAGCGCTCCCATCAATTCGCCAACAATATTATAGGTAGGCAATTTGAGCGGCATAGGAGCAGTAATAGTTGCTTGAAGCAGTTTGTCCATGCTCATTCGGTTTAATTATTCGGATTACCTTCAATGCTTGTGGCGCCGACCAGTTAGCCTTCAATTTCCGACGAGGCAATGTGAGCGGCAACAATAGTTGCCCCCAGCAATTTGGACGTGTTCGTTCGTGATGAAGGGAGGCAAAAAAACCGTAGGATAGAAAAAGATGAAACAAGATAGTTGCACCACAGCTTAGATGAGCTAATTTAGCATCACTTGATTATCATCTCAAAGTCAAAAGAAAAATGGACTTATCAGATCAAGTCAAACTTTGAAAACTTGAGAAAAACACAGGTGATTGCATTGCAAGCTCTAAAAACAATTTAATTAAAACGCTTATATCATTATGACTCATTCGAATTATGATTTTAAGTGTTTACACAATGCTCTGAAGAGTAATTAACTTGCGTTTAGCATCGAAAACTGAACATCACCTAATCACAAAGTGGTTTCTTCCATTGCACTGGAATTTAACAATTTTCAGCTCCTGAACGAACATTTATCTTGACACTGTCAGCAAAATAAAGAATTTTTAAAAATTTAATTCTTAAATTTATAAAATGCATTTAAAGAGAAAGATATAAGATGAGTCCGTAGATTAACCGAATAATTTTTCACAAAATATTGAAAACTCGTGACCTCTTGGCCATAAATACAAAATTTCAGAAACTGTCAAAATTTGAATTTTTGCCAAGGCACATGATAAAATGGACGTATTTATACTAAAAGGAACCAGAGGCGAGTGGGAAGGAAGAGGTGTGCTCGTTAGTTGAAGACCGTAAAAATGAATGGGAATTATAAAGCGCCAGTGACGTCAGCGGCAACGATCGGTAGATCTGAGTCTTTAACTTGTAAGCCCTGTCCATAACGCTCTTGTCACTTGCGCACAGCTCATGAGTTAGCCAGAGACAATGAGACCGCCACTAGTATCTTGGCGCAATAGTGGAAGCTTTTACTCTCGGGACTTCAGCATTTTGCTGTTGACTTACCTACATGGTTGATGTTTAACAACGTGTAGGCAGTTTCGTTTTGCAAACAAGCCAAAGTTTGGGAGACTTATTTGGCTCATGACGTCATCCGAAGCTCATCATCCACCATGCCACCATGTGGGTAGGTCAAGAGCCAAAATAAGAGTGATGACTATTGCTCCCTTATAATTGTCCAAAAGGAATGGTTGAATCCCAGAAAGTAAAAGCTCCCACCTGTCGCCAAGAGGCCATGCGGCGGAGGGTCTCCATATTTTGGCGCTTAGTTCCTTTAGATGTACCCTGGTAAAAATTGGCGATAAGAGCTGCGTTTCAAAATTCCATAAGAATTCTTATAGCCGGCTAGAGAAGGCTACAGCGAATTATATAGCTGGCTGTAGAATGCGGAGAAAATCATACGGCCCGGGCTATACGAAGCGAAAAAAAATTATGCAGCCGGGCAATAGTTCCTATCGCCGGGCTTTACACTTTATCGCCTGGCTGTTGCTTTTTCGCCATCGATTATAAAAGGCTATAAGAAATTGGGTAGAAATTCGTGTGCTTTGGAAATCATTAAGTTTGATACGGAACCACCTTAATATTTACAAAACATATATTATATTTTCCTTTAATACATATTTTTTTTTTATCAATTAAAATGAGAATAATCCATACAGGATGTGCAAACATTTCAAAATCATGAGTTGAATAACGCTGACACCGCCGGATTAAATATTAGATCCTAACACAAAGCGGAGCGGCGACGCACTGGCGCCTACAAACCTAACAGGGATACTTCACGCATTGCGCAATGCGTGAAGTATCCCTGTTAGGTTTGTAGGCGCCAATGCGCGTTCAGCGCTGGCTGCCCGCCGCGCCGCAGCGTACCGCGGCGCTTGAAGCAACTATTTCACACCAGAGGTATTGCACAGTATCATACGAAATTGAAGGCGCTCCAACATATTAGGAATGGCAGGCATCCTTCAAAAGTACGGAGCTTTCCTCGCAAATTAAATCAAGATACTCCGGCCCAAAAAGAGAGCGGTAGTCCAAAAACTCACCAAGTCCTAGCATCCGTAATTAGTAACGTTTAGCATACACTTCACCGCCTGGCTGTTGCTTAATCGCCGTCGGCTATAAAAGGCTATAAGAAATTGTGTAGCCGGCTATAGAAGCTATTGGAAATCTTACAGCCGGCTGTAGGTCTATGGTATTTTGGAACACAGATTCTACTGTCAATTTTTACCAGGGTATGCAAAATCCGTTTTGTCCAAATCCCCAAAAGGAATCACGCCCATTTTTATTTACATTGTTCCTTGTCCAGCTTGCACAAGCACACCCCATCTTTCCCACACCCTTCTAGTTCCTTTTAGCATAAATACGTCCAAATATCTGATTTGGCTAATTGCATGCGACGGATATAATATGCTCGGCGGTTCCTCGCAAAAAAAGGGAAGAATAATTCAATCGGTTTTGGGAGCATACGAGGTAAATGCCTCGCCCCCGTTATTCTCGGGTCACCGAGGGTTGATTTGATTATTTCGAAACGAGGGGCACTAGCACACGAAGCGTGAGGGAAGACAAGGAGCAATTATCCCCTTGAAAAGTTCATACCGTGTCTCGTGAGGGAAGTGACTCGGTCGTGCTGAGCTGAGGCGTAATTTTGACTTTACACACACGGCACACGGCTCTGAGCAGTCGAATATGTAATCATAAACACGTTACGTATTCCAGTGTCAACGGTGTTGCCGGCTACAGCTAATGAAGGCGCTCCTCCGAGCCGAGGGCTGGTCAGTGGTGGCTTTGCCTCATAAAACGAGCAACCCCCGCGGTGAACCCGATTACCGACTGACCCAGATTCTTGGCGTAGGCGTGTGTTTATTTGTGGATGAGCTGTTATCGTATGCTCGCTCGCATTCAGCCTTTGTCAACAAGACCCACCTGAAGTTGCCGAACTCTTCTTCGGCAAACGTTGAGGCCTTTCTGTTGCCCCTGTTTCTCTGGGATTTGACCAGGATGTATCCTAGGCCTTGTCTCCACCCCAAATAGCATTTTTCAACTGAAAAATCGCGATTAATGGTGATTAAATCGCTATGCATTGCAATTTTTTGTTCAAAAAAATTGGGATCAATTTTCGTCGATAAAATCGAGATTAAATCGCCATATATCGCGATAAATTGCCGGGCGATAAAATCGCGATTTTATTGCATCAAGATTGAGGATAATTGTTCAGATGTTGATGATCCTAGCGATTTTATCGCCGAATCGCAATTAAACGCAACTTTTTATTCGATTATATCTCGATGAATTGCCACCAATATAATCGTGATAATCAACCGATAAAATCGCCATTTTTCACGATCACTGCTACTTGGGACCGGGCGTTTTCATTGGATTTGTCCAACGATTTAGGAACTATAGATTGGTGCAGGTGCGGCCTACGAATGATGTAACACACATGGAGCGGTCGTTCGATACCCAAATAGCTTATTTTAAAGAAAAAATTGCGATTTTTTTACGAATTTTTACGAGATTTAGCGATAAAAACACTAGGATCATCTACATCCAAGCGATTATACTCAATCCTGTCGCAATTTTATCTTTGTAAAATCGCGTTCCAGAAAATCGAAATTTCCTCTCAATTTATCACGATTTTTCGTTCGATAATATTGCGATGATCGCTGCCGATAAAATCACGATTTTATTGCAAATTTTTGCGATGAGATTGCAATGTGCAATGCAATATTGTAATAAATTGACGTCGATAAAATTGCGATAAAATAAAATAAAATCGCAACTTTTCGTGATCACTGCTACTTGAGTAGGCGCGGCGGGGCGTGGAACTGTCGAACTGAGCTCTCGCGTGCGTGGGGAGTTTGAGAAGTAAGCACAGATTCCTGTGTTAAATTTCGTGAGAAACACGATGGTGCCACTGTTTTTCTCCGAGATCAACCCCAAAGCTCAGAAAAAGCTCTCAAAGTTGAGGCCATAATGCAAAGGATATCCCACGCTACCCTGAGAGTCCACCTCCTTACTTAGTCAAACTCTTCATGCAAAGATAGGGAGCAAATACATTAGCAGGGTTGCAGTGTTTTCAGTTTTGGAGTCCCAAATAAGGGGACAACCCTGTTAATGTATTTGCTTCCTATCTTTGCATAGAGAATTTGTTTTGGTATAGAGGTGGACTCTCAAGGTAGCGTGAGATATTCCCTCCATTAGAGACTCAACTCTAAGAGCTTTCTTGAGCTTTGGAGTTGATTTCAGAGAAAAACAATGGCATTATTGTGTTTTTCGCGAAATTTAGTATAAGACTCGGTGCTAAAATCGCAAATTCCTGACACATGCAAGAGCTTCAGCTACTCTTAAGCAAGAGCTATTTTCGGTATAACCTCATCTTACGGGAATTTTTACAATAAATAGACCGACCAATATTCGTCCGACCAGGAGGCATTTCCATATTACAAAAAATATAAAAACAATCGCTATAAGTAGGTATTTGTAAATTAAATTTTTTAAGGCGGCGAATATATCGTTTACAGGATATCAATCATCGCAGATTCAACATTAGCCCTGATCTCA